ACCGATGCTTTGAAGACCAAACACGGAACACGGAGCAATTTAGAGAATTATTTTTTCTGACTTTGTATCCTTGGTTTACTCCAGCGACGAGCAATCCTATAGAGGGGCTGCCTAATTTTATATCTTTTCTTTCTTGTTTAAACTGATTATACACTTCCTGTGTATTCTCCTTTGATTAATAAAATTTTTCCTGATTATCTATCAAAAAAAAATTATAGTTTTGGATTGACTTAGGATGATTGCAAGAATAAAATTTTGGTAGAAAGAAAATGAATTCTAGGGAATTAAATTGCCTAAAACTTGTTTTACTTGGAATGATCAATTAATTGTGTTTGATTGGTATAATTTTTCACCTCAAAAATATTGAAATTTTGGATCTTTTGATATTCGTTTGACTCTGTTTTCCATGAAAATTATCCATTAAAGGGATAGAATTTGTTACAATTGGGAATAGAATTTGTTTCCATTGCCAAAAAAATTTTAAAATATAATTAATAATATAATTGAAAAAAAAAATTGCCTACCCACCATGGGAAAAGTTTTTCCTCAAAAACCAAGAAAATGTGAGCACGTAGGTGAAAGATGAAAAATCAATTCCATGGAAAATTTGGGCAATCAAACATGCAAAAAGGTGGAAAATGAAATTTAATATTCATCTTCCATGGAATTGAAGTGCAATCAAACAGGGTCTTAGAGTAAATGTCGCATCAGTTGTATTGATAATTATTTTCGAAGTGGGGATTTTATAGTTGAAATAAATTCTAAAGGAGAATCATATTATGTCCTCACTCCTCGGTACAAGAGAAGTTCTAGTTAAACAGCCCTTCAGATTAAAATATTAGACAAGCCGGAAGTGGAAAAATCTAACAAAATTAAGTAATGAACTATCACGCACTTTTACAGAGATTCAATTACAACCTTGCAAAGTACATAATGCTTGGCAAGAAATGACCACCCTTACATGTCAAAATCAGGCCTGGAAGGTGACACTCCTAGTATCAAATAGACTTTTCAGAACAAATGCAATTGAGTGGGTTCTGAGAGAGTGCAAAGTTCGATTTTGAAAATTAATTCAACATGCTGTTTCAATTATTGTTTGGCACTCTATTGATCTCCACTTGTATAGAATCATGGATTTTGAATGATTTGCTTTATTCTTTGATGTTTTTTATTGTATACATCTTGTGTTCTCTCTTTTTTTATATAAAATAATGAAATTAATATAGATTCATAAAAAATCGCAAATTGTTTCACCAAAAATAAACGCAACAGAGATAGTTAATATATCCACATTGGTAAATAAAATATTGTTTAGTACAT